TTGAATTTCACTTTATGTTTTCTCCTTTTGGAAATACAGTTACATGAAATTAACACTTCTAAGTTCTATCTGTCTTGATGTTTTTCTTTTTCTTCTGCAGGCTGATACAATCCATTTGTATTCAAAACTTGGTATCCACCATTAGAGAAAACAATATCTATTCTTTCGAAATTGTATCGCTGTTTGGAACCAGAAGTCTTCACTGGCTTGGCTCAGGTGCCTTGAGTCTTTCAATAATCACCCTTCTTCAGTTTCTTATCTAAGCATTGCCCTTTGTGCGTTCTGTTAAATAATTAATTTGTGTTGTTTTTTTCACAGGAAGCTGTAGAATTTTGTTCTGACTCTATCCAAGTAAGTTAGCTGAATACCAGCTACTGTTCAAGGCTAAAGATATTTGCTTTCTAAGCATGCTAATGCGATAGAATGATACAATTTCTATATGTGGCTAAGCTTGGATTTAGATTCTTAACAAAATCATGTTAACCATTCTTTGAATAAGTTGACAGACTTATTCGCTCTCTGAAATAAGTGGTGGGCTTGGTTGGATTTCTAACCATTTGCATTTTTTCCTCTTTAATCTTTAAATTTTACCTAGAAAGCAAGCAAACTAATTACAAAGAGATCAACACCAATGGATGGACAGCTCTTCCTTATAAAGCATCTTCTGATATTAAGGGAACAGGTTATCTTTATTATTCCTCTCTTTTGCTCTCTTTCTGTCATTGGATTTTTAATTAATAGGATGAATTTTGGCCTCGCAGATAGCACCATTTGACATAGAGTTCTCTGTTACACACAAAGAACTTGATTTCTCTCATGTGCTGGTAAGTTTTCTGAGTCTAAACTTCTGTTTAACCGAAATGCACTACTTGATGTTTACAGTCTTTTCAGGCTTATTTAGCTTTAAAAGCTGAAGCTCTTTCTGAGTTTCAGCAGATACTGGGAAGACCAATAACACTATTATTGTACTTTCTTAAGATCTATTTGATGCTTAGATTGTTCAATCTCCAGTTCTTTTCCATCTCGAACAGCTCTTTCATATTTTACCTTCCATTTACTTGGTTGTTTTAATATGCCTTTGATAGGATCACCTGAGACGTATACTTAGAGGCCAGGCATCATTATTTGACTGGACCAGATCAACATCATTAGCAAGGACCTTATCTCCCCGTATTTTGGAAAGTCATGTAGATGCCAGGAAGGTTAGGATTTAACCTTCTTTAAATTTATGACGGTTCTCAATGAGTCAAAGTGGCTTGTACTGGTTTTGGTGCTTGTTGAAAAAAATCTTGTACCAACACATCACTGTTCACACGGATCAGGATACAAGAAAGGAAATTTCAAATCTTTTGTCCCTGAAGCTGATGATTATCGGCGAACTATTTATGTTTCTCCAATGCCCCTCCCCTCTTTTCTTCTTTTCCCCCGTTTTGTGATGGATGCTGGGAATTTGCTTTGTCATCAATAGTGACTCATTTTTTCCAGTTACTTTCAGGAGCTGGAGAAAAGTTTAAAAGCAACTTGTGAGGAGTTTATTATGGCAGTCACTAAGCAAGTTGTAGATCCTATGCTTTCATTTGTTACCAAGGTCTCCTTTTTCTCCTCAATTGTTCTTTTAACGATTTTAGGATATTAGAATCTTAAAATAGTAGATATCCCTCGGTAGTGAAATAAGACCACTTCAACTTGCTATGTGATATTTAACTGACCGCCTTGTTTCCGTTTTCTTCCCTGAATGAAATCACAGCATTGATGCTATTGGAACTTTTTTCTGCTTCGATTTGTGATTAATTGTGTAAGCCTTTACTTCTTTTCCTATAGGTAACAGCAGTAAAAGTTGCATCATCTTCTGGTACTGAATCAAAAAATAGACTCGATTATGGCCAAGCCACTCAATGAACAAGCCTTCGCTACACCGGAAAAGGTGGCTGAACTTGTTCAGAAGGTGTGTCGCATCTTTAATTCATGTTTTGCCAACCTATTTTGGAGGTTACAGTTTGCATTGGTTTTTGAAGATTCGCCTTTTTTTAGTGGCAAATCTGTTTATACTTTCAGAGTTTGGATTCACCAACTGATGATTTTCATATCTCGAACAGGTAAATTCAGCCATTCAGCTAGAACTTCCACTGGTGATAGCAAAGATGAAGCTTTATTTACATAACCCAACAACACGAACAATTCTTTTCAAACCAATCAAGTAAGTTACCGTCCCGAATTTATAACCTTAACTCCATAGTCGTTGACATAATCATGGTTTTCTAATCGTGAAGCGAGTTTCGGATGATTCGGATTCTTTAGCAAGCTTATTGTACAATGCACCAAGATGATTGTTTATATTTATGCAGGACGAATATCGTGGAAGCCCATATCCAAGTTCAATCCCTTCTAAAATCAGAGTATTCTCCAGAGGACATACAAGAACTGGAAGCGCAGCTCGACAATCTCGTTTAGCAAACTATCGAAGCTCGTTCAAGTATGTTCCTCAATCCAAACCTTTTCATTAATTTTTGGTGATATCGTGGTTCGGTCTGTTCATATGGTTATACTAATAATAGATAACTAAAAAAGGTACTGTAAAGAATGCTTTTACTTTTCTCAACTTCCATTTTGTTAAACCCATTTTTTGGTCCTGCCCCAAGAACATTAAGTTCCGTTCTTAGTCTTACTATCTTGGCCACAATCGATGGAAAATGCATATTTTTCGTGATACAATTAGATGGATTGGATCAATTTTTACCCTAAATTTGAACTAGATCTAATTTGATTTTATAAAACTGGATCATAACTCGTGTTCACCCTTAAGTACAATACTTAAACAACTTAGACCATCTCCAGCCCTCATCTCTACTCTATAACATCTATCTCTACTCTAAAGATAAAACAGTAATTCATCTCCAGCACTATCTCTACATTACCACTAACTCTACTTTATTCACAATATTTAACTATTATAATATTGATTTTTCAAATATAAAATAAAATATATACATTTCTAATAAATATCAAATAAAAACATAAATAAAATATTCATAAATAACATTGCGAAAATACAAATAAATAAGAAAATTATAATTCATAATAATAATGTGAAAAACATAAATTACATAATTATATATTTTAATTCTTCGAATTAGAATATTCATTTCACAAATGCTCAATTAGTGCATTTCGTAGAGCAAAATGAGTAAAATTAATGCAATTTAATCTACTTGAATATATTATATTATGTTTAATTTTTATTTTATTGTGTATAATTTACAATAAAAAAACATAAAAGATAGAATAATGTAACAAAAAAAGGAAAATAAAAAGAAAATAACAAAATATAGTAAAAAAACAAAAACCAAAAATCATAAAAATAACAAAAAAATTTTTTGTGGTGCAACTACAGTAACATGCTAGATGTATCGTGAAATTAACAACCACGTTAAAATGGAGATCATTGTTAGCGCAGCGCTGGAGTTCTCTTATAATCTCCTAAACCGTAATGAAATAATTGGAGGTAAATTTCACTCGCGTCTTTTAGATTGTTGCAACTTGAAACACCAATCATATAATCATAAAGTTACCAAGTTATAACCGCATGTAACTATTTCCATTTCAATTATGGGAAGCTAACTAATTAGCAGACTTGTGAATTCTAAATCTTAAATTTTAAATTCTGAATAAAATAAATAATATTAAAACGAATATGTTTACTTAAATTAAATTTTGTAAAATCTGTAGATCAAATAATATAATCGTGAGATATAACATGTTTTGTAACACATTTTACAATGTACTGTGATCACACAAAAAAGATCTTTCCAAATAATTGCATGTAAAAGATGGCAGTCAAATGGGCACTATTGGCCCTGTAACATCAGCCTTGTCGGGATTTAGAGTGACCGGGTCAATAAAAGGTGATGGGGGCTTTATCTTGGTGTAGAAAGTACGATGGGTGGCGGTTGGCTAACGAGGAATCCGAATAGCAACCGTATGAATCAGAGATGAGGGATAAACACATAATTTTATGTTAAGTGAATGAATTTGAATTTATAAAATTTTAAGATAATAAAAATATAATTTTAATGAAAAACATATTGAAAAAAATTAAAATATATAATAATTTTGAATTTTATGGTCCATCTTTGCTGTGAACAGTGCCTAACAGGTGAACAGAAGACCATGTCGCGTTTATTTGGGTGTAGAAGGACACAGCCGTAAACTTTGAAATTGGACTAATTGATTTGTACAAACAAGATGGATCGAGGGAAAGATAGACGAAAAAATCTTTTTTAATTTAAAATTATCATATATTTTAAAAAATCAATGTATTTTGTTAAAAAAATTATTTTCGTCCTATTAAAATTTTAATTTGTCATTCGTTTAAATTCACTCTTCCTAGTATAAAGTTCTACATCCGTCGATATGTAGAAAGGCACACCACTTGTAGACCAAAACAAAAACTTTGTTATCTTCCCACTCCTGGCCTTGGGTCCAGAAAATCAACAGTTGCCCACCATTATGTTCCCTTGTTTAACATTCTTCTTTTTAGTCAAAGAAATCATCTCACCGACAGATATTTCTTACTAATATATTGAAATATTATCGTGGATGAGAATAATGATATTATAATATTAATAAACGATTATTTTTTTTATTTGAACGAAGAATTATAATCAACAAACATACGAAAAAGATGAAGAATGATAAATTGAGAAAATAATAGAAATTATAAATTAAGAGCGAGATTGTTTAATCTATCCTTTCAGCCGTGCATGATGATTTATACATTAATCTTTAGTATTTGTATTATACTTGAGGCAATGATATAATAATTATCCGTAGGTTAATAGAATACAACTTTCAAAAATTATATTCAATTCTGACAAAGCACGTTGATACACTAATAATCTTATTAGAAAATTATGATTTTGTTGAGTATGTGTAACAATTACTGTCCTTAAATCATGTAATTTTAAATTAAATTTAAATTTTAAAATTGTTTAATTCAATGTTAGAAATCAAACTATAGAGGACCAAAGTGATAATTTATATTAATTTTTATCAAATTCCATCGTCATATGGGAAATCAGTAGAATCCAACCAAGCTTCACCGACTATAAACTCCGACACAGTAAAATTATATGCATCGTCGTATTTCATAACGTGGTAACCGGGCCAATTGACCCGGTTATCCGTCCCCGAACCTGGACCGTAATTACTATACTCTCCGTAATAAAGGGTGTCCAACCCTTCGTCGTTAGACCACTGAGTCCATCCACTAGGACTTATGAAATCATCAATGTAGGATTCAATGTAAACCGTTGTCGAATATATCCTCCACGGCCTTCCTAGGTAGCTTTCGACGGTGCTGGAGTTCGCGTACAGTTCGTCGGCGGCAAGAATCGAACAATTCTGAATCGAAATCCCGGTGTTTTCATCCGGGGTTTCCCGAGATTGCGCCGTGATCACCGTGAACTGGCCGGGCATCGGCATTCGAGAGATTATGTTACATGCTTGGAAAATGACCGCTGCATTGCCGAATATGTAATCTATAGTGCCTGAAATGTCGCATTCGCGGTAAAATTGTCGGAAAGAGTGAGCGTATAATGTGTCTTGGTAGCCATTGATCGAGCATTTGTATAATGCGGCGAAATCTGCATTAATTCGCAATGCAACCGCTTGGTGCTTCGCCGGACCGGCGGCGTTCTCGATTGTTATGTCCCGAGCTAAAAAGCCTTCACCAGACACAGCTGAAATGACAAGCAATGATTTAAGCTTAAAATAACCCGAATTTGAGTTTTAAACTTGAATAAAAGACTCAATCTAAAATACACTGAGAAACTCAAACAACTCGAAACCAAAAACCAGAGGTACAAATTTTTGAGAGATTACCTTAAAATGACTCGTAAATGAAACACTCGAATCGAAAATAACTCGAATAAAAGACTTGATTTAAAAATTTAACCGTGACACTCGAATGATCCGAACCCGAAATCCGAAACCCAAAATTTAGAGGTACAAGTTTTTGAGAGATTACCAACAGTTGCTGATCTGAAAGTGGTCCAGCCATCAACCACACTTCGATTACCGGTAATGAAAGTGGCATCATTTCCATCTCCAAGGAGAACTATGTTAGTTTTATAGCTTGGGACTTGCACATTCTCTTCATAAACCCCTTCTCTAACATAGATTATCACTCTGAAATCGCTATTGTTTGGAGCAAAGTTTATAGCATCGTTTATGGTACTGAAATTCCCTGTTCCATCAGCCGCCACAGTGATCACTTCACCCGGATCGTACTCTTCGTCGTCGCCCTGCAAAATCCGTCGAGCTTTCGGTTTCAACCAGCTCGGAAACCCCAACAATCGACGATTTTTACGGCCCTTTTTACCTGTTTTGGGAACCATTGAAAGAGAGTTGCTCACGTGTTTGTAAATATTCCCCAAAGATTTCACCAACACAGGTTTGAAAGACCCAGAGGCCGAATCCAATCCTTCTAAGCATGTGTTGGTGTTCGTAAGACTTGCACTTAGATAAGATCTTGCATCGGTCAGCTGCTTCGAGTCACCCGATTTGATTCTCGACACTGATTTTTTCAAGGAAGATACTGTGATACCATGGAGTTCATTGCAATCTTGCATCGTCCCTTTTTGTTTTTCGATGACGTTGTTTCCTCCGCCATTGGAGAGAAGATTTGTGAGCTTTCCTGCTTCGGATAGTGCGGTGTCGAGTGTTTGAAGAAGGTAGTTGAGTATGTTGGGACTGATGTTTATTGAAACGGAAAGCTTCAATGAATCGAAACAAGCATCGGGGTAAGGCTTCGATCGACAGAAATTTCGTATGGAAGAGAGATTGGAGTTTAAAGAAGTTGTTGAAGATGAGTTTACAGCTAAAGTCGAAGAGAAAGACAAAGTGAAACAGAGGGTGATCAAGGCTTTGGTAATGGTGGAAGCCATTGAAGAGTGTTTGATTTGCAGAAGGTGAAAGGATCTGTTTTTATTTTATAGCCTTTACACCATGAGATATCAGACAAGTTGTTGAGAAGGTGACAGAGAGAATTGATATTTAATTAATATACTATCACTCTTTATATATTTTAAATAAAATTTTAAGTTTAAATAACGGTTTACGATCGTAATAGTGTCTTTAATATAATGGTAGCGGTGTCGTCCTCGATCGTTATTATATGATTGCGATACCCGTAATTACAACAATAACACTCATTATATCCGTAATCACGATAAATACGATGCCAATTTAAATCTTTCATACCAACCACACCGACTTGGCTTGAGAAGTGTCAAATTCCATGTTAACCACACGGACTTGGCTTGGGAAGTGTCAAATTCCATGTTAACTTATCAAATCATTAGTTTTTATTTTTCTAGTATTCTTTGAGTTCATTTTATTATTTTATATTTGAAATTTATAATCATTCTTTTAAAACCTAAATTCTTTTCTTAAAAATAAAGTAGAGTAAACTATAAATTTAGTACTTAAATTATCAATTTTGATATGTTTTAGTACTTAAACTTTTAATTTTTTTTTCAAAATCATATCAAACATTTAGTTTTTGTTTCGTTTTAGTAACACGTCGTTAAAAACTTAACGACGGATTGACGTGGCATAGTTTTGATGGATGGAAAACCAATTCAAATGGTGGACCACAAGAAAAACTAAAATAGTTCAATTTCAGGTCCATCGGGTGGTAGACCATGGAGATAAAAGGATGAAGAAATCAAAAAGTTCATCATTGATTTGGAGAGAGGCACTTACTAGTCAAACATAGGTTGAAAACACTTTCAGGGTCAAAAAGGTGTTGGTTGACAGATGCAACAGCTGATAACTTTAGATACATTGATTGGTGAGCCTGTCTTTTAAGTTTTTAATGGTAAAATATTAAAATAAAACAAAAATTAAATGTGATTTTAAAAAAAATAATACCAAAATTAGCCCCCAAAGTTGACCAAAATAATCATTTTGCCCCTATTTTTTTAGCATTTTGGCCCTAACGTTTCATTTTAGGGCAAAGAAACCTTTAACATTTGACAAAATAATCACTTTGTCTCTTATTCTTTTTTCTTAGGCATTTTAACCCTTAACATTTCATTTTAGATTTAAAAAGTTCCTATTTTGGAGCGTTAATCATTTGTTAACTAATATGTTTTCATATATATAGAGGGAGCTTTTTGCCCCAAAGTGAAACGTTGGGGACTAAACTGTTCCAAAAAATAGTGGTCAAAATGACCATTTCGGTAAATGTTAGGGACTATTTTTAGTATTATGTCTTTTAAAAAAAATGAAAGTTTCTGTCCGTTTTCAACTTTAATAGAATCAAGAGTCCTTTACGTAAACGAGATTGGAGTCTCATTTGCATGACAGTGCATCAGACACTCACCTTTTGTTGACGCATTTTCAACGTTGCAATGCATGGGAAAAAGTTGGTCCACTAATATATTGAAGGATATGAATTTGAGACGATCACTCTTATTTTGTCACATGCCAATTTTGGAAATGAAAAACAAATCACATAAATTAAACTTATTTTTTAAAATTTTTGTAATTTTTTTTAAAAAATGAGAGGTCTCGTTAAAAACCCTTTCTCAATCAATCAAGAATCGGGATTCAAGGTCGAGTAACGAAAGGAATAACGGAAGGGGAAAAAGAGTGCCCATAGGCCATATAGTATCATTTATATTGAATGTGATTTCAGTTTAAACAACAGATAAAGCGAAGGTCTTGAGAAATCTAATATAGCTCGAAGATTTTGACTTCTAAAGCAACACTAGCACCCCCATTCAAAACGCCAAGACCCATCCTACTCATGCCCCACGATGGGAACTATGTACGAAGCAGCAATGTGGAAGCAAACTTGTCAAGGAATATACTGATCCCAACCAATCTTCTCGACTCTCGGGCTGTTCAACCAATACCCTTGTTGGCTAGGCAGTCCGCCTCACTATTAACCGCCCTTGGAATATGTCGAACCACTAACCACCCTGCCGACAGAACTGCAGCAATGCGGAGAACCACCCTGCCATGCAAAAGAACATGATGATGCCCAGATTCTGGCTTCTTTAGGCAGAAAGGGCACGAAATATAGTGATAGCTGAAACACCCCTCTTATATAATTCAACTTTAACCGGCACCCTCTTGTAAGAGTAGCCATTAGCTCCTCCCACCGAGAAATTTCCTAGTCGAACAATTTACGTCTGAGCGTAATGGACCAGCTCCATGCCTGGTCCCTTTTTTTCTCCAAATTCTGCAATAAAGCCGGTTTTGTTTACAGCCAAGGTATGCTGATGTTAGAGGGCAAACATCCAAGTAATGGTCTCACGGCTATTAATGTACTCGAAATTCTCTCCGAGGTACAGATGTATGGTTAAGATATAATATCATCTTTTAAAAAATGGATAAATTATATGTTTAGTATCTAAACTATCAATTTTAGTCTGTTTTAGTACCTAAACTTTTCAAAACCATTCCCAAAATTTAGTTTTTATTTCACTTGAGTACCCACAAAACTTTAGTTTTTGTTTTAGTTTAGTAACCCGTTAAAAATTTAACGTTAAATTTTGAAAAATTGACAGTTTATGTACTAAAATGGACTAAAACTGATAGTTTGGGTACTAAACAGGTTAAGTTTTTAACGGTTGGATACTAAAATGAAATAAAAAAAACCAAACGTTAAGTATAGTTTTGAAAAAATTAAAAGTTTATGTACTAAAATAGATCAAAATTAATAATTTAAGTATTAAATATGTAATTTATCCATAAAAAGATTAAAAAAAACAGTTCTAGTAATAGAAATGAAAATTTTCTTTTAAATAATTTGAATTTGAATAACATTATTTACACGATATATATTAACTTAAAAAATATGACAAATAATATTATAAAACAAAAAAAATACTCATTGGTCTATTAATTAATTAAATCGAATTAAATTTTATAAAAGATTTATTATAATAGTTTATTACTTAATTAAATCAAACCTAATCTTATAAAAAAAATTAATAATAGAACCGAATCTTATAAAAAATTCATTACGGTGACAACTTTCTTAACTTAATATTCTTCAACTACAATATCAAAATTCAAACTTTTAATCTTCAGACTATGAGAATAGGGAACATAACAGGTCAGATTAGGGTTGAGTTTTTTATTGAACCGATCCTACCTGAAAATATGCATCCTTCACCCGAATTTAATTTGACCTGAAAATTTTATATTCTATATTCGACCTGACCCGATCCAAAAAATATATATCATTTATCCAACTCCGACCTAACTCGATTTTTTAGAATATAAACTTGACTTGACCTGACCCGACCATATACAAATTAAATATTTAATTAAAAAAATAATATTTAAAAAATACATTATTATCCTCGAGTCGGGTCAGATTTTTATCACCCTCCATCCAAACCTAACTCGACTTCATCCCTTACAATATCCGACCCGCCGAACCCGAATATTTAAAAAAAATCCGACCCGATGGAGTCAAATCAAAACCCGTCGGATGCGGGTGAAATTGCCCTATATGAAAATATTAACTCATGTTTCCCTAAGAACTCACATTTTTGGACATTGCGATTAGATACATGCATACATCAAAGTTGGGGGTGACCTTTGCTGCTTCAGTGGAATCATGGATTATCCTTAAAGCTCTTATGAATTTCTAACTACATCAAAGTTTCCAAGGGCATTTCTGCATCATACAAGTCAACAAGAAATGCATTATTTCACTCACGGTCCTTCCTGTTTTGTCTTCAAAATCAATCAGTACAATCATGTCCCCCACTGTTGGCCAGCCTCCTTACCGATGATTCGCCCTGAACGATAATAAACCCGGATTTTTCGGTGTTCAACGGCACGAGAAACAGTTCACAAAACTGTTATGCAGGAGTTTGTCCATAGAGACCGTGTTAAAGGATGGAAGAGCTAAGGATCCACGACGCTATTTGTCGTTCCACTTCTTCCCAGTTGTGTACTTTAGTCACCAAAGGGTGATCCTCCACTGATTGTATCTTACACCAAGGATACGAGTTCTCGTAATCGAAAAGCAGAACCCTGATTCCAACTTGAGCACACTCGAGAGCATATCTCGGGTTATCATCGATTAGGATCTTGGCTCCTAATGTCCTGCAAGAGAATAAAAGCTAATCGAGACAACTGCCCTCAAAAGATGCTGGTATACTTGCATTATATAAATGATATAGAAACTAGTGTGCTTGAGATTATTAAAAGGAACTCATCGATGAAAAGAAAGCAGCATCTGTACATACCGGCATATTTCTGACTTAGGTCTAGACTTGCCATCAAGAGCAAAATGGTTGCCAAAGTGAATCTCCTGGAAAAGTCCAGGATAGTGCTTCTCTAACCACCCTATTGTATGATCCTTAATAACATTCTGCCGAGACCTACTCATAAATTAATGAAGGACCGGCTTAAGTGCAAAGGTAAAAGAATAAAGGCGTTATTAAGGAAGACAGTATGCACACATACGTTACGACCGAAAGGTTGCAGAATCTTGATAACTTGTGAAGAGCCAGCTGAGCACCTGGGAGGGGGTGGATACCTTTCTTGAAATATGGTGTCTTGAAGAACTCGTGGACACGGATATCGGCTGTCAAAACAAGAAAACAGGGCATGTTCGGAAGTAGTACTTAACCAAAGCAAATTCAATTTTTTATTCAGAGAGGATATCAAAACATCCAGCATTCTATTAAACAATATGAACATGTTCAACATGTCGAAACATAAGGCAAAAACTTACAATAGATGCATTTTACACTTGATCCAATGCTTTTCCATTTTTCAAATGTAAAAAGAAATTCCTCAAATCACTTTCTACAAGGATCAACTTAGTCTATTTATTTAAGATGGAATATCAAAGAACAAAACAGACCCACAAAGGACTAGACCTAGGTTATATACATACATATATATATATATATATATATATATATATTCATACACAGGAATTAATGAGTATGCCTACTGATACCTTCATCGCGAGAACAGTTCCATATCTGTAAAAACAACAAAAAAAGGCATTAGAACACTCACTAAAGAAACTTAACCAACACCAAAACAACAGCCGATTATCTAAAGCAGAAAACACGGGCAAAAGAACATCGACTTAACCGAAGACCACATATCCCCAACTGCAAAGTAAACAATCATGTTACTGCGACTTGAACATGAAAGCAAATTCATCTCACAATTATAAAACAGAATGAGAACATTACCAACAAAACTTGTAATACAAAGGTCAAGAAGCATTCACATGGAAACCATTAAAAACATTGCTTGTGGCTACACCAATCATATCAAAGATTTTCAGGACATTATTTTTTTTAATATGGGGTAAGTAAAGGCAATATCTATTTATAGATAATTCTCCTCTATTTGGGATTGAATGCTAACACCCTGGCATTTCTTGTTCTCGAACCCGGGAATTCAAGGAATAACAATTCCTTTATCACAGAGGTTGCTTGGTTCTTGCCATGACATTATTTTTTATTTATTAATCTAGGATAAGTACAATGTTATATATGTTCAAAAATAACTCTAATCCTTTTGACATTGAAGGCTTACACCCCTGATGCTTAAACCCGGATCCTAAAAAATATCAACAATTCCTTTATCATTTTATCATGACATTAAAATGAGCCTTTTGGGGGTCAATGAAGAGCCTTTTTTTTTCTTTATTTCTTCTTTGGGTCTTCGATCTTTCACAATAATAGAGCTCATCATTCTTTTTCACTTAATTAAAATCAACAACAATTGACTTACAGCAAAAGACTTCCATTATCCCCACTATTGATTTCGTTCTACTACTATTCACAACAAGAAGTAAATAAATAAATCATAAAAAAGAAAAGAAGTCTTACCCTGAAAAACTCGTACACATGGTACTCTGAAACCGAATGATTCAACGAATAACGATCCGCTATAAATCTGTTCAAGGCTGACACAAAGTTTCCTAGTACTGCTTATACCAAAAAGCAAGAAGAAGAAAAAAGATAATAATGGCGTTTAGAAAAAAAGCATTATTCTCATCCAAAAAAAAAGGAAGTATTGGCAGGAAAAAAGAAAGAAATTGTACCTTCATCGACATCGACAGCAACCGCAATTTTCTCCGGCAACGGCTTGTCGGGAAAATCAAGAGCCCCCCTCTGAAACGAACCGTTGGAATCAACCGCCGTCTTTGCCTTTTTCTGGGGTTCATTATGATTAGAAATTTCCAATTCGCGCGCCAATGGGGAAGCAAAGACAACTGTTTTCTGATCCCTGGTTCTAGGGGAATTCTCCAAGCAACTTCTGATGCTCAAATTCAACCCGGGGGCCGATCTGTTAAACTTAAACCCGCCGCCGCCGCAGGCATTGTAATTATCGAGCGGGACGAGTTTGAGCCGCCGTTGGCCCCCCGGCAACGCGTGGAGCGGGCTCGAAAACGGATGGTCACGAGCCAAAAAAGCCATGCCCTTACGATTACAGCCCAACGTCTGATCGAATAACAAACGAACACTACCAATTTGCTTCTTTAACATAACGAGCTCTTCGCATTGCCGCTTTTCCCACCCAGAAAATGGAAACCAACAATAATGATTTTGCAGCCAAAAAGAAAGAAACTTTGAGTGAAATAAATCGATTAATTAATAAAAAAAATCCCCAGGAAAAAAAAGAGAGAAAGAACCCCAGAAAAAATTATTATTGGAGACTAAAGGAAAGGAGCGCAATCCAGAAGCGCGGCGACGTGATTTATTTATAATCGCAGTTCGAGGGGAATAACTAATTAAAAAAATTCCAAGAAAATTCCTTTTGGAATTTAAATGGTTTAAAATCAAAGTAATTTTTGAAGGATATCTAGAAATTAGGAAGAGAATCTTAGGGATTTCGTAAAATGATGTTTGAATTATAATAATAGGAGTTGAACAATTTTTGTGATTTGGGGAAATTGGAAGTTCCTTTCTTTTTAGTACCAAAACGTCCAAAAACACAAAGAATATGCCAAAATGAGGGGAAATGTGTTGCTTTGGACCCCCGAATTTTTTTACGACCAACTATTTAGATACGTCTTTACAATATCGAAACTAATTAATTTAGATTATATAAGGATCATGTATGAAAAATGTTAAAAATTCAATAAAAAAAAACTCGAAAAAAGTATATACGAACAAATATGACTCTATCAATGAATTAATCACCAAAAAGAATTAAGTAATTGAAAGATCACAGAGTATAAAAAATTAGAGTCAAGCCTAAAATAAAAACACAGAATCGAGTATTAAAATTCAATCCTAAGGTCTATAATATGGAAGATCTACAGGATTACAAAAAAATATTGTCTTGATCAGTCGTGAAGTCGTCATATCTCACCCTAAAACGAAAAGCATGCTACAAAGCTGGAGAAAAATATACCACAAAAGTATAATTATTTTTCTTCAAAAAAACTAAAAAATAAACAAACAAAAAAAAGAGAATCGAATGACGACAACCAACATCAAAATTAATATCATCGTTGATTAAATAAAGTCAAAAAAAATTAATATAATTTATAGAAAATGACACAAACACTAAAAAAATAATTATCAATAATAAATGCTTATTCATCCTTATATATATTATATTTATACTTAAAATCTAAAAAATAATTTTGTAATCACTAAAATTCACTTAATTATTACATATAAAAACCATGTTTAAATATGAATTATATGAATTAGGGTCGGTCACGCATAAGTTGGCGACATATGATAATACATGAAATTGAGGAAAAAGACAAATTAAAAAAAAAATTAAAACACGTGGGTAGCTGTGCGGTGCAGCGGGGAACCTGGTAGGCATTGGCAGTGTGCTAGCTAGGCGCGCCGCTCGCCCAGCCACTCACTCAGTTACGAAGGCATGCAAATCAGAGTCATGTTTATCTTTTAAGTATCTATGTACAAGATAAAGCTAAAAACTAAAATACATTATAATTTTTAATTTGAGGAAAATCTTACACTTGATTATTAAATATAATAAAATATGAATTTAAACATTTCAATAATAATTAAACAGTAGAATAAAACATTATTTTTTAAAATAAAAATTGTTGATATAAATTAGTCGATAAATAATTTTTTTATGATTTATAAAATTTAAATAAAATCTTTGCCATTAATTGTCCGTATTATAAGTGATTGTGATTCAGGAATTTGAGTTTGTAAGGTTAAGTTTGAATCCTGTCATTGTCTCTCTTAGTGGGTAATGTAAATTCCTATGTAAATATCAACTGGATCGTTCTGGCCCTGGACTGGGGAGCCATCTTTTTTTTTTTGATAAGTAAATTTTATATATCCAAAGAATAACAGTAGCTACAGAACATCCCAAAAGGAGTACAGACAAATACTTACAACAAAATAATGGTTAGACTAAGCCCCAATTACAACTAAGAGTTAAGTTTACATTATCATTCATATATTGAAGTTTTCCCCTCTAAGTTGATTTCGGATTATGTCCTTGATAATAGACAAAATTTGATCAGCTTCTCTTGATCTTTTTTGAAAGATTCTTCTGTTTCTCTCCTCCCAAATCGAATAAATGAAGGAGGTCCAATCAATTTTCAATAAGGTGGAGATGAGGGATTTTCCCTTCCAGTCATTACAAGCCCATGATAGCATAGAATCCCAAGGCATGTGAATTTTATGCAATTGAGAGAGGTTTAAGATGGAATTCCATAGAGACTTAGCAAATTTACAATAAGCAAATATATGGTTCCTAGATTCAAGAGCTTCATTACAAAGCACACATTAACTATTAGTAACAATTCATATCTTTAACAATCTGTCTCTAGTTGGCAATCTGTCTAAGATGACCATCCAAGCAATCATACTAAATTTGGGTATATGATAAGGAAACCAAATAATTTTATGCCAAGATACCTTACTTCTTCTTTCTCGATAGCTTCCCAAATGTCCTTGGTATTTTTTGTTCTAGCATTTAAAACAGAACGAGCAGTAGAACGAAGCTTCAGAAGTTTCTTAATGTTCCAGCTATGAGCAATACTAGCAGACATGTCCATGAAGTTAGGAGCCATCTTTGACCTAAGCTTTTCGAAAACAAAAATAAATTATTTAGACTAATTAATTATAGGATGAAGTACACAAATGATCCATGATTATAGGGTACAACTTTATTAAATCCCTCGACTATTAAAAGCTATAAAATGATCCCTCGATTATATAATATTGTTTTATTGAATCCCTCGACTATATAGTATTGTTTTATTGAATCCCTCGACTGTTAAAAGTTACAAAATGATTACCCGACTAATCATTATGTTCCAAAATCGTCATTTTTTATTAAAAAAATCAGTTATTGCCTAATATGGATGTTAACATGATGACTGAAATATGATAGTCAACAAGTTAAAGTTCAATTCATAATACCATTAATTTTTAAAAGAAAAATGATGCTTTTGGAACATAATTAATAATCAAATAACTATTTTGAAACTTTTAATAGTCGATGGATTCAACAAAGCAACAATCTATAGTCAGATGATCATTTTATAACTTTTAATAACTAATGAACTTAACAAAACAATACCCTATAGTCGAGGATCATCTCTATACTTTACCCTTAATTATATTATAAAATAGAAAAAATATATTATATTATGTTAAACTATAAAAACAAAAAATGTTTTTTTTATTTAAGCATATTATTACATGACCAAAAATAATAATTTTAATATAAAATATTAATTTTACATAAAGGAAGCCCATGTAATTTATTTACGGGCCCATGGGCTCGTCTTGGTTTTTGTTGACCTTTGCTTATAGATTTTTCAAAGCATCAATTAGTCAATGCATTTTATTTGGAGCGGCCCAAGTTTTAGATCGAAATCGGCATAATATACAAATTGGTACTTAGACTCAATATTGTTTTTTCAATTTAGCACCTGATTTTTTTATATAATAAAGTATCTAAACTTGCAAGTAAAACAATATAGGAAAAGTACACCAATGGTCCCCCGACTATTGGGAGATGCTTTGTTGAGTCCTTCAACTATTAAAAGTTACATAATTGTCCCTTTACTATAAGGTATAATTTTTTTGAGTTATCGACTATTAAAATTTACAAAATGATCACCCGACTATTCATATGTTATAAACTCATTCTTTTATGTCTGCTAAACAATTGACTTAAGTCTGAGCTGGACTTTAACCTATTGACTAAAATATGATTTTATCATATCTCAGAATCTCAAAAGACTATCATATCCCAATTAGCATGTTAACGTCTAACCCAAATGACTGCTAATTTTTTTAACAGAAAAGGACGAGTTTGGAACATATGAATAGACATGTGATCAATTTGTAATTTTTAATAGTTGAGGGACTCAACAAAGCAACACCATATAATTAGAAGACCATTTTGTAACTTTTTAATAGTTGAGAGACTCATTAAAGCCCATCATATAGTTGAGGGACATTTGTGCAATTTTCCCAAAAATATATCCACGAATTTGACAATGAATTTTTATTATAATAATAAATGGTTAATTTACAATGTAAAAACAAGTTTAAAATGCTCAGTGGATTCTAAGGAAAAATTAACCTCAAATGGAAGTGGCGATTGGCTCGTTTGAGTGCAGCAAAGAACTCAAATCAATGAACACCACAAATTACTAAACCCAGAATCAAGGCCGCAAATATGCGTTGGATTTTGGCAGCCGAAGATCTGTAAACCGTAGGAGGAGACGCCGCCTTCTTCTGTTTTCGGGTGTCGATCATGATCTCGAACCGACAAGGCGGCTTCGTCGGATCAACAGTTGTAATGACGGCCAAGTTGTTAAAATTACATGCACCCTTACTCTGATTCATGGTCTGAAAGTACGTGTTGAACGCATAAGAAGCATTGCTCTGGGAGTCCAGATTGCCGCACGAAGAACCATAGCCGAGGCTGGTGCAATCTCCGTTCTCGCAAGCGTAAGTGATGCTCTGAGCCAACGTGTTGGGGTCCGAGACGCCGCCGGTAGAAGGCGACATCACGCACCATTGCTTGGCCAAATACTTGACGCCTTTGGCCGGCACGACGGCTCGTCCGTTTCCCATATCCAAAGGATACTTGATGCCGCCATCGTATTTGAGGATACCCCAATGCCTCTCGAAATTCCCCGGCAACGTGCTCTTATGGTCTTCGTCGATGAGCGAAAAGATATAAACATCGGGCGGCGTTCGTCTCCTCGGACTGCCTAGGCCTTGCACTATACGGTCCAGAAGCGCCTGGTTAAACCTCTTGGCGTTATCGACATTTGCGCTCGCATCGCCATCCGTCGGCCAGCCAACTTCTCCGATGACGACCGGCATGTGTCCGAAGCCATTTTTCTCGAGAGCTGAAATGAGGGTATCGAAATTAGCATCGTACACGTTGGTGTAAACGATGGAACCATCGACCACTGGCTTGGCCGTGTTGTTGAAGAAAGCATATTCTCTGGGGAAACTGGGGTCTGCTTTCATGCTAAGAAAAGGATAGATGTTGATGGTGAGGAAGCCACCATTGTCTTGAAGGAACTTGATGATGTTCATCATTAGATTCTGGAGTTCCGGCCGGAAATAGCCGCCGGAGGGTAGGCCGGAGTCGGTCTGGTAGACGTCGGCGTTTATAGGGATGGTGGCCTTCACTTGCTTACCTAGCCCGGCTTTGACAAGAGCTGCTTGAATGTTTTCAAGAGCCGGGAATATAGTATTCACGAACTGATCTTTGTAGTCACGTAGGAATGGTTCATTGCCTACGGCTACCGACCTTCGTAGTTGTCATCATACACATAAATTAGTGATTTGATAATACAATGATTAATTGTAGAATCTAACTTTAAACAGACTTAACATATATTTGTCCAAATCAGTACTGAAATTTTAAATTTTAAAAAATATAAAGATTGAAAATATATATTTTTGGTTTAAATACTTTTTAGACCTCTTTAATTTCAAAATTAAACAAATTAGATCAAAACCCTTCCATATATAATTTTAAATTGATGGATTAACAATTAAGCTATAATCACCATTTTAATCCTATTTATATTTATATTTATCCTTGAAGTTTTATTCTGAGTGCGTCCCTGTTAAGGATGGGCATGGGTTGAGTTTTCGGTCAACCCGACTCGGTCAAAAAATATAAACCTTCCACTCGAAACTTGATTTGATCTGAGTTTAGGGGTGACTTCACCCAATTCAAACTCGACCAGATTTTTTGAGATAAAAATCGAATCTGATTTGACCCGATCCGAAATAAATATATTTATAAAAATATTATTTTTATTCAATAAAAATAGGAATCTAATTGGAAAATTAATATATAAAGAGTTATTATTGTAACTATCCCTAAATACATAAGGTAAATTTACATTATTTTTCGGTTCGAATTTTTTCACCCTTATTCCGTGCTCAACTTGACCTGAATATATATATATTTTTTTATAGAAACCCGATCGGACTTGACCCAAACCTGATTTTTAAAAAAAATTCCAATCCTTTCAAATCAGGTCGGGTCAAAACCCATTGGATTCGAGTATCGTGCCTATCCCTAGTCCCTACATATAGTACATAGATTACTAAGAAAAGTTAACCTAATAACTACTTGTTCATGTACCTTATATATGTTCCATGGTTGGAGATGTAGTTGGAAACATTTTGTTGGACCCATGCCTCAGCATTTCCCACAGCACTCGCAAGCGAAGCCAGCATGTAATTTGGTATCCCAACCATGACCTGGATGCCTGACCTGCCGAGAGCTTTGAGTGCACCAGGATCAGCTTCAAACAGCTTCACCTTGCTGAACCCGTTGTCCTTCAACAGCCTCACCACTATGCCCGGTGGCAAAGGGTGCGTCGATTGCATCCCCCAGTTGCATGCCAGCCCCGAGCCACCCTTGGCCAACTCCACGTACCCCAGAAGGCAAAGAAAAATGAACAAAAACGAATCGATTTGACCCATTTTTGGAGATGATGATATAAATCTGGGGATGTGTTATTCTTTAGGGTTTGTTTGCATGTGCTTATATATGCAGCGGTTTGGGGTTTAAAGGCTCTTTGAGGGGGAGAAAAAAATGTGCTTTTACCGATGGAAAAAGAAAGGGAAGGAATTTGCATGAAAGACTCAACAAGGAACTGGATTCCAAAGGGAAAACTCACATTTGAATCTTGATAACATGGAGGAACGAATGATTTTACGTCGAAGGACAAATTTATAATAGGATAAATTACGTGTTTAGTACACAAACTATCAATTTTGGTTTGTTTTAGTACCTAAACTTTCACTTTTTCAAAATCATACCTAAAGTTTACTTTTTGTTTCATTTTAATACCCTTATTCGAAATTTAACGTTATGTTTTGAAAAAAATTAAAATTTTAGGTACTAAAGTGGACCAAAACTAGTAAATGCATTAAGTTTTTAATGGTGGGTACTAAAATAAAACAAAAACTAAGCGTTAGGTATGATTTTAAAAAAAATTGAAAGTTTAGGTACTAAAACTAATAGTTTAGGTATTAAATGCATAGTTTACCCTTTATAATAATTTATAGGAAAATAATTATAAAATTTTAGATGACGAAAACAAATTATCAACAGAAAATACAAAGAAATATCTAAAACATACGAGAATTTAAAATTTTCAGGCGTGGTCGTCTGAGTCAATCCATCACCGGTTAATAAGCATTGTTTGAAGGGGTTAATTGTGCCAAATACCCCTTGATTATAGACTGAATTCCAACTTAGTCACTAATCCTATCGATAAAGTCATCCTATGGATCTAGCTGTGTTTTAAGAAAGCTAACTTGAATCACGCATATTTAAGAATATTTATTAATTTATACATATCATCTTTAAACTATTATTTAATGTCTAAATTGAAGTCACTTGGTACAATTAACCCTAGTTTAGCATATAATGAAAGCTTAGGTATTACTTAAAAAAAACAACCTACGGGAAGAGGTTTTTTAAAGCAAGAAAGGCATAGAGTGAGAATGGTGGAGATGATTACGTGTAGAGAGACATTCCAGCACAAAAGGCATGTTGAGAGCACTTTCAAACTAGGGCATGTGTTTGGTCTATAAAGGTTCATCTTTCATGGAAAGTCTCTTTTTGGATGCTTCACTTTGTCACATCTATGACCGGTGACGGATCTAAAAATATCTTTTAGGATGGACACATATTTATTAACAGTATAAATTTTTTGAATAAGGTAAGCATAAATAAAATTTAAGAGTGTAAACCATCAATAAAATAAGTCACCAATCAAAGAAATTCATATTTCAGGGTGGGCTACATCAATAAAATAGATGACTAATCGAAGAAAATCTGAATTTCAGAATGAGCACGTGCCCACGCTCAGCCATGAGTGCATCCGCATCAAGAGAAAATAAACTCATTCGAACATATAAAAACAAGTTTGTGACACTTGAAGAATGTTACAACACCTATCCAAGCAATCCACATCAAGAGAAAAGCTCTTTCAATCTTATTTTTCCTTTTCTCTTGTACATAGAGTGTTTTAGTGAGCTAAATTGTGTAAACACCTTCCTTTGAAAGGTTTCTTGTTTACAATCTTTTATCCTTATTGAAAAAGAGGTTTTGGTTCTATCTCAGCCATTGTAAAAGATAGGAATTTATAAAGGTTGCTCTTGAGCCTAGAAAAAAAGAAATAGCAAATTAGTGAATTTGTTAGAAATCCTTAGTGAGGAGATAAGTTAGTGGATGTAGACTTCGTTAAGAAAGTTGAACCACTGTAAACCATTAAGCCAACTTTTCTATCATTTCTCCTTAATTTCCAAAAACAAATTGAAAGGCCAATTCACCCCCTCTTGGCAACAATTTCAGTTGATCAATAGAGCAACATTAAAGCCAACACCAACATAAATATAACAAAAAATAATTTAATAGGAAAATAATTCACATATATAATCTTTTAATTTAAAACTTTAATAACAACTAAAACTAGTATAACTAAATGTTCCAAAACAAACTTTAAAATTTATATAAAAAAAATACATAGTCTGAAATATAATTTTTCGTCAATTAAGATGAACTCTCATTTTCATAGAATTAAACCCATTTATGATCGAGACAAAAAATATTGAATAATTTTAATTGAATAAAACATGATATAAGGAGTACCTTTTAATTTTTTTATAATCTTATAGATAATATTAAAAATTTGCTAAACAAACAACTAATAAATTACAAGTTCATAAGTAATTAAAGAAAAAAAACAAAACATAAAAATTAAAAAATATATATAATAAAAAATCTGCGGAAGGAGATCAAAAACTCAAAATCCCAGTTAAGATATTCGATTACCTTAAAGTTTTAAAAAGATTTTTTTTGAATTTAAAAATCACATAATGAAAATAAATAAATAAGAAAGAGATCGCATCATATCATATAAGTTAGAAGAAGACAACTCTTAATTTAAGATCCTGAAGAGATAAATTTATAGTTAAATTTGAAATTAAATAGGACTCTAATTAATTTAATATTAATTAAATAAAATTAAAATTAAAATTAAATCTATAGAATTATAGGATTAATTCTTTTTTCTTGGCATAGGGGCCGCCCCTGCATGACTTTGGTAGCCTTCCCGTTCTAGGATTTCGTCCCGGTTAATCCAGATCGACCCGCACTATACACATGTATTTGGTGGATGAGTCTCTCAAAAATGATTTTCTACATACACAAAGACTCGGACCTGAAATATTGCTTAAGTGATATCAAGTTGCTTACCACTTTTAACCAGTCATTCATGAGTCTAATATAAGTTAGACTTTGGGTTATTGCATTATATGTCATTAAACTATTATCTTCATTCTAAATTGGTCTTTAAATTTTTGAATATTTCAATTTCATCCCCAAAATATAACTTATTTTTAAATTGATTCTCAAAACTTTTGAACATTCTTAATTCATACTCAAACTATAATCTTCATTGTAAATTAGTCTCTAAATTTTTGAACATTTCAATAGCATCTTCCAAAATAATTCAAAAGATTAGGGATATATTTGAACATTCAAAAGTTTAGGGACTGATTTGAATGAAGGTAATAGTTTGAGGATGAATTTTGAATGCTTACAAGTTTGAGTATCAATTTAGAATGAGAATCCTAGTTTGGGGATGAAAATAGAATATTCAAAAGTTTAAGAGATCAATTTAAAATGAGGATCATAGTTTACGAATATGTGGTACAATTAACTCTTTTATATTATAACAAACTTTTCTTATTCGTTGTAAAAATTCGAGACTAAATTAAAATACATTCTAGGCTATAATACATACATAGGTAAACTACATAGTAAGTACTCAAACTATCAATTTTTGTCCATTTTAGCACTTAAATTTTCATTTTTTTCAAAATCATACATAATGTTTAGTTTTCATTTCATTTTAATATCACACCGTTAAAACTTTTACACGTTTATTACTTAAACTATTAGTTTTGGTCTGTTTTAGTATTTAAACTTTCAATTTTTTCAAAACTTAATGTTAAATTTTGAACGAGATACTAAAATAAAAAAAAACTGAAAATTTTAACGACGAGATATTAAAATGAAACAAAAACTAAACTTTAAGTATGATTTTGAAAAACTTAAAAGTTTAGGTATTAAAACGGATTAAAATTACTAGTTTAGATACTACACGCGTAATTTACCCTACATATATTTGCATAATACTCTTACCCAATACTGAAAGTTGGTGCTAAAAGTGGGCCAAAACTTCACTACCCAAGCTTTGGATTCCCAAAGGTGCCAAATTTCACAAACCCAAGCTTAAGCAAAGCCAATGCTCGCCCCAATAGGTCATTTCCAGCATAAATCTCTAAATTTATTTCTGAATCGTGGCTCAACGATCAGCATAAATTTTCCCAATTGGCTCATTTTCTTCGCCCGTTAATCAAAATACCGAAATTTAGTGGCTTTGCGTCCAGTTTCCCTTCGAAGATTTTACAAAGCACACATGGAGTTAGCTACCTCTTGAATCTCTGGCGCACAATTAAGCTTGCTTTGCCCAAATAATCTCACACCCTCGACTCTTCCCTCTTACAAGTATCCTAAAAGAACCAATCTTCCCAACGTTCGGCCGTTTTCCAGTGGCTTTTTTTGCCAAGGAAGCAGCGAAGCAGCTTTGGGTTCATTAACAATGCTCCCTCCATGTCAAATTTCGGTAACATCACCCCTAGTAGGATTTTGTTGTGGATCAAGTAATTAATACCTTGGTCTCAAATACTCAACTGAATTTCATTGATAAGCAAGGAAAATACAGCAGAATAGAGAAGGAAAGATAAGAAGAGAAATATGGGAGAATTAGTAAGGAAGAGAGGATAACAGATTTGTAAAAACTTTTTCATGATTTCATTCTATCTTCTATTGCCTTTAATAGCCAGCTAATGTAACCATCAAACGAATCGATTTTGGAATGCCCTTTCTTACGTGTATTCTTCCTCACCATTTGCTTACTTGGCAATGATCGATGTGTGTGCTGAGTTGGCATGGACTGCTCTTGGGTCATAACAGATTTACAAAAGGTTGGATTCTTGTTTGATCATACCCCATCAGGGAACAATAAGCCACGTGCAATCATCAAGTTCTTGGGCGGTTCTTTCCTCGGAGCTGTCCCCGAAGTTACTTACATGTGCCTTTTTTTTTCTTCATTGTGGAGTGAAAAATATAAACCCTTTGCGATTTTGGGTTTGGGTTTTGTTTGTTTAGTTACTTGATTGAGCTTTTGGCCAACGAAGGATTTTTTTTATTATATCTGTGCCGTACAACGTTGCATAATCAAGTGTACGAGAGGTTCAATGCTTGCTTGGACAATATTCTTGCTTTTGGATACCCAGATGCTAATCTTACTCCCGCTGATCTTGTTGACCTTCCAATTGTCTCAGTTGGTCATAGTATTTCTTGGTGGGTTTTCTTTTTAATAAATGGTTGTCTCTTGTTCCCATATGTAATGGGGTAAGGGGAGGTAAGATAGTAGGCTGCCCCCAACATCAGGTTGAGAGCAACTTCCGTAGAAGACTTCCGAATTATGAAATGCCTTCCGTGGGACTCGATCCACGACCTCTTGTGAGTTTTCTTTTTAATGTTTGTTTGATAACGCCTAAATTTTTTATTCATATGATAAATGCAGCAATGGTGCTCTTCTTCAGTTCTCACAGGAAGTTATTTCTCTGAAAATATACCAAAGGTTTGCTTTTTTTCTTCATCTTTTTTCAGCCTTTGAAGCTTTCTTTGTTGGTTGCAGCTTTGAAGTAGTTGATTTTACATTTAGTTTTTGTAGGCAAAATGTAGATTTTTGAAGTTTTAGATAGTGTAAATTATTATTAGGCTCAGTAGTTCCTGGAGTGTGACAAAGAATGTTATCTCTTGTGGAAGGCTAATGCCATAATCTCATACAACAAGAAGTCAGTGACAGAGGCGGTGCCATACTTTGAGCAGGTAATAATCTTTATTTTATGAAAAGCCCTGCATATTGATTATAAATTTACACTTACCTAAGGGTATATGTTTAATCTTATTGCCTTAGACTTGCTCGAATTTATTAGTTTTTTTATCTTCAATGGTTTATTTCTTTATAGCTATATGAATCTAGTTGATTTCTTTAATGAATTGCGGGCGTATAAGATGATGGAAGTTATTGAATATTATCAGGTTTATTAGAAACGGAGCTTTTTTTGGGTACAGTATTAGCTATAATGTATCATTAATGAGGCTGATTTTGTTGGGATCAACTAAAATTATTTGTGATGTTCCATTAAATATCTCATATTGTTAACGAGGCTGGTTTTCTTGGGATCATCCTAAGATGTATGATGTTGTTTATAAGTTTTCACTCACGGTGACTGCAAGTATCTCATTAGTTGTTGCCCTGGCATGTTAGTCTAATGAACCATTTGATGGTAAACGTGGGGATCATCCTTTGCAGTTGGGTCCTCTAGTGAGGCAGATGATGCCAATCGTAGAAGCATCTCCCTTGTATGCAATGGCTAGGAGTGCTTCAGGTAAATTAAATCCTAACTCGTGCTCGCTGACTTTTGCTACTATGTCATTAATTTGCTGCTATATTCTTAACCTGGGCCTTATCCTTTTGTATGCCTAAATAATATGCTCCTTTTGTATGTATTTTTTTCATCGCAAACACTGCAGATGATGCGTGGAAGATGTTTATTGGCATGGCTGGATCAATGATACCTGAGAGACCAAGAAGCCCTAGTCTCGTTCTCCAAATTTGTGGATCAATTGCCTTCTGTTTTTGTTCAGGTATGTATCTGTCGATTACAAAGTTGTCCGAGTTAATACATGGAGTGGCTCACGTTGTTTTTGGTTCCCTTTTCTCTATGCCATGCTGAGTATCAACTTATTGTGTTTTGCATATTCTAGTGGACGAGACTCCAAGTTGGAGTTTGTTATCATAATCTTATTTGAGCAAATACAAATGCATGTACAAAAATGAGGATAATGCCGATTTGCCAGTCTGAATAGGCTCCCCTGAACTGGTGTACTCTAGTTTTTCACTTTGGCATTGTAATCTTGTTTCTTTTATAGTTCACGGAAGGGATATCAGAGTTCAGGCCAACACCTTCTAAGAACCGTGAATGTTGCAAGAACAAATACAACGTACAACACACACTACTGGTATATATTTTGTGCTCTCTAATTTGTTAATTAGATGATGTAAGTTGCTTTTGTGTTTATTCTTGTGAATCTCCTTTTCGTAGGTGAAGTTCAACTCGGACACGATTGATGAAACTGATCTCCTCGAAGAGATATTGAAGCCTCGTGTGGACACTATCGGTGGGACACTCGAAAAGGTGCAATTAAGTGGCTACCATATAACACCATGCGTGCCGGTATGACGTGCAAAACTCATCTCTTTCTGTCCACTTTCTATATGCATTTGCCTGTGTGGAGACCATTGGTAATACTGAGCTTCCATGTTCACAACGAGAGGCATCTTGAACTTATATGTTCAATTTATTTAGCTTGAACTGAGTGAACCAAAGTGCTCTCTAGAACAATTTCTGATTGGCTCAGACGTTTTGAAGAGTAACTGCCGAAATTCGATCGTAAGTTGATTCTGTGCAGGCACACAGTTTATTGAAATTATAATGAGAGTATTGAGGAACAAGGAGTTGAAAATTAGATAGCTCCATGTGTATAGTCAAGCTCAATGAGCTTTCATATGTACCAACAAACGAAAAATAGGAATTGAACTTTAGACTACAAACAGATCAAATGAGAATATAACCCCCCCCCCCCCCCAAAGAGCTCCTTTCGTCGGATATACTTTTCTTGCTTGAACATACATAGTATGAATTCCACTAGCCAAATCGGTTCTAGTTTGATTCCTAATCCATGAAATCAATGGAAAAAACTTCTCTAGCTTGTGAACGTTATTTCTAAATGGATATATACTGGTGTATGATAACTACTTTCCTTTTTGCTTGGATTATCGCCCTCTTAACAGCTGTTGTTCTGAACTCTCGGAGAGGATGTGTTCCAAAAAGGCTATGATCCTTTAAATTAACTCGGTTTATTCGCTAGTTGAAGAATACATTTAAGTTTGAATATTTCGTGTTGATTTGTACTTCTGCATACTTCGATCTATGCATCATGTTAAATGACTGATGCTCTCTTATCAAATAAACCTAGGCATGGCCTTTCAGACGACGCTACGACTGAGAGTGCTATCGAATTAGTCATCTATCGCTGCCCTAGGAATGATCTGCAGATTTATGCAACTTCCCTGCAAATGGGATGAACTTGGTGAACAAAGTCTTATCTTTTGTTGCTTAGATAATGATCTATTCATATTTGTCGGAAGTTACAATTTTCAGCCGGATCGTAACCGGATTCTCGTGGGAATAAGCTGTAAGTTGCATATCTAGAAACAAAGCTCGAGTTTATTCATTGGCATTATTATTCTTGTTCTTGCTTGCATGAAAAACAAAGAGACAAGCTACCATATAAAGACCACCCTGCTACAAAAATTGCCCTCTTGGTTAAGGAAAAAGGAAAGAATTTATCTTTGGTGGCATTATAACACAACTAAAGTTGCCTATGCAGCAGCCTTCACCTTCTCGATTAAGTCCACAGCGTCTTGGACGGTTGCAATGTTCTCAGCTCCGCCTTCTCCGACTGAAAATCCGAATTGTTCCTCCAACGCCATCATAATCTCCACCTGAAATGAATCCGATTCGAAACATCGGCAGTCAGGTTAGTTTTCTGATAGGACATCAATAATATAACCTACAAGGGATTCTAAGAATCTTCGATGTGAAAGACTTGCTGTGTCAAGGGAATCAGCACCAAGATCAGCAAACTTGGTTTCAGGAGCCACTGAGCTCAAATCAATTGACAATTGCTTAGCAATGGTGTTCTGAACAGTTTTCAATGTCTCGGGATCGGCCTAGTCAAAAAACGTCCGATGTGTATCAAGACGACCGAGCTTTAAACAAAGTTGTGATAAGAACAAGAAAGCATAATGCAAGGTTCTTACAAGAGAGCATGAAACTGTTGTCTTGAAGCAGCTAGATCGAGTAGGCAACTTCATCTTTGAGAATCGAATCTTTGGAACGAGCTTTAATCTATTACATACAACGGGAACCCCCTGCAATAAAAACTCGATTCAGTTCAATCGGTCTCGATTCACATTGTATTTCAATTCCAACAGGGGTGATTGCTTACAGTGGTGGTGAAGCTTCTGTGCTGAGAAATGGATCCCCTGGCTGTGGGAACCATAGCAGGGCTGGCCATTGAACATGCCGGGGTTGAAGCAAAAGCAGCCATTCGGAGCTCGATTAACTCGGATGGAAAACGCAGCCTCGAATTAATGCGAGATCGTTTAGCAGAATCAAATTGATGAAGGAGCTTAAAGGTTGTAGATATAAATATAGATCGTTTAGCAGATTTGAAGATGATTCCAATGTATTAGTTTTGTTTCTTAATGAGTTTTAGAAGTGAGCGGTAGCTTCCATGTATGTTTAGTACCCATCGACCGCCGCTCCTTGTCTAGTTGGTTCAAGTGCTTAACTTTTCATACAATTTGGATTCCAATTTTCAAATTCTAGGAGGAGGTTATTGAGTTTCGAAAGTTGCCGTTAAATTTCGATCAGTTAATGTGACATTTCGACTCGATTTTTGATTAGATCATATTCGACGGTCTATATTGTTCTCGGTTAAGTCTCATTGTGTGTAGACCTCGTATGTTTGGATACAAACTAGTATAGTAGTATATGTTTAAAGACTTTTAATCTTTTAACTTTCTCACTCATGTATGCGCGGTGCTCAAACCCGAAACACAAAAAAATAACAATAAATCTTTATGTTCAAATCCGAGACACCAAATGATAACAACAAATCTTATAATTATAACCACCGAGGTCGTTTGGTTCGTTGCAAAAAACTTATTTTATCGGTTGAACTTTTATTCTCAAGTCAAATATTTGAATATCAGACAAAGTACACAAATGGTCCCTCGACTATAGGGTATTGTTTTATTAAGTCTCTCAACTATTAAAAGTTATAAAATGGTCCTCAGACTATAGAGTGTTACTTGGTTGAGTCCCTCGACTATTAAAAGTTACAAAATAGTCACTCGACTATTCATTATATTCCAAACTTGTCCTTTTCTGTTAAAAAATGGACGATATTATAAGCCGAATGTTAACATGTTGACTGTGATATGATAAAACATGATCTCAGAATTTCAAACGACTATCATATTTTAATCATCATGTTAATGTTCAAATTAAACAACAACTAATTTTTTAATAGAAAAAGACGAATTTGAAACATAATGAATAGTCAGGCGACTATTTTGCAACTTTTAATAGTCGATGGACTTAACAAAGCAACATTCTGTAGTCGAGGATTATTTGTGTACTTTACCCTTGAATATTAGAATGCTACGTGTTCAAATTTAATGAAATTTCTTTTATAACATTATCGATTAGACTTTACTTTTTAAATCAGATAAGTAAAAGGATTAAATTTATAGAATCAAAAACACAAACACGTCTAAAAGCTTGAAGAATTTTGAGGATGTGAACGTAATTAAACCTTTCATTTTGGTTAATCCCCCTTCTCCCATACTCGCGGAAGATAACCTATATGTCGATATCAACTAATGATTTTTCCAATATCGACAATTTTCTTTGTATTTTCTCACCTTATAATTTTGGTATTCTTCTAGTTTATGCAAACTACGTATTTAGTATATAAACTATCAGTTTTAGTCTATTTTAGTATTTAAATTTTCATTTTTTTCAAAACCACACCTAACATTTAATTTTCATTCATTTTAGTACCCGCCGATAAAAACTTAATGTGTTTAGTACCTAAACAATCAGTTTTGATCCGTTTTAGTGCCTAAACTTTCAATTTTTTCAAAACTTAATGTTAAATTTTTGAATGAGATACTAAAATGAAACAAAAACTAAGCTTTATGTATGTTTATGAAAGAATAAAAGTTTAGGTACTAAAATGGACCAAAACTGATAGTTTAGGTACTAAACACGTAATTGCCCAAATATTTTTTTACTCAAAATAATTGTATAATATTTAATTTCGTAACCTAAAGATTAATGTATTTCATAGTATTTTTCATTAATTCTCAGCAAATCATTAAGATAGATGAAAGGTTTGTCATATGATGATCACTACAACAAAGGGTACATGACTTGCTTTATTCTTCATAGCTTTAGCCTAATTTTGGTTAAATCTTTTGTTTATCTTCTCCATAATCTCGACTGTTGTAAGGAGCAAAAGCTTCCAGCACCCAATTGCTCTTCCTCCATGACTTCCACCCCATCTCTTCACAGATTTCATCACTGTGATTAATGCTAAACGTCGAGATGCAATGCCTCTTGTAGAACCGAGTCGTTTTCTTCATGATCTCGGTTTCTTCCCCCGTTTGTTCGAGCATTTTCCCAATGCTCGGGAGCTTGAACATCACGTCGACGAGCCTCGCGAGCCACGTGCACCTCAGCTCGGCCGTGTGCAGGTTCGCGACGCTCTCGACGTACCCCACGAACGCCATGTTAGGGATCAGGGGATGGATGGTTCCCCTATATAATGGCATGATCCCCGAGGAGTCCGCTATGAGGTTCGAGAAGGGAGGCGGCAGTAAGTCCCGGATCTTCTTCTTGCCGTCGAAACCGGTGGCGAGCAGCACGACGTCGGCTTCGAGCTGGGTGCCGTCTTCGAACTCGAGTCCCTTGTTCCAAAACCACCACTTGGGTGTTCTTTTGAACATGATCTTTCCCTTGTCTGCCTCCGAGAAGAAATTTTCGGGCAGGATGGCCATTTGGCAAGATGCATAATCTTCTTCAAATGGATGTTCTGGTTTCAGTCCATATTTATCCAATGGAAGCTTCCATAGTAAATACGACTCTATGAACTTGGAAACTGCTTTTCTCTTCAGTAAAAAAAAAGTTTGAGGACCATAGTGCAATTAACTCGAGAAAAATGGACAAAAAAGTATTACCAGGGGAGACAAAAGAGGGCATAGCAAATTCCTGAGCAGCCCTTGGTTTGGCCTTTGATGGAGAAACTGAGAAGATCTTGTTGAATAAAACAGGGAAAATGGCAAACCCCAAATCCAGTAAGCTGGGACCGTCCAATGTAATGTCCTTATCACCATTGTACAAGGTTGACCATCTGCTCCTGTTTTTTTTATTTAACAAAAGTGATCTATTTGTACAAAAAGAAAATTGTAAATTACGTGTTTAGTATCTAAACTATCAGTTTTGATCTGTTTTAGTATCTAAACTTTTCATTTTTTTCAAAATCATACCTAAAGTTTATTTTTTATTCCGTTTTAGTACCTCGTGATTAAAGACTTAATGGGTGATTTGCACGTGGCACCTTTTTTATGGGTATTAAAGTTAATTTTTTTAATTTAATTACTTAATTTTCAAATTATTCATAAATTAATCACTCTAACTTTCAAATTTATTTTTTTATTTTTAATTATGTATTAATAAAATAATAATAAATTTATTAGAGTGATTAAAATAGGAGCAATTTGAAAGTTGAGTAGTTAAATTGAAAAATTTTAAACTTTAGTAACAAAATAGGAGTGAGAAAATAGTTGGGTGATGAGTGATGTAATTTAACTATAAAAATGTGGTGGCAGCTAAATTTTTCACGATGAGGTACTAAAATGAAATAAAAACTAAATGCTAGGTATATTTTTCAAAATTTTGAAAATTTTGAAAGTTTAAGTACTAAAATAGAGCAAAATTGATTAGTTTATGTATTAAACATGTAATTTACCCTAATTTTTACTTAAATTATTAACATATATGTGCATGTATATAAAAACCTTGGTTTGTCTCGGCACATTCAGTAGCTAAATCAATGGCGGATTTCTTGTAGCCAACAACGGCGACTCTCTTGCCTTTCAACAACTGCCGGGCGGCTTCTTTATCCAGCTTAGAATACTCCATGGTGTGCATCACTTTGCCGCTGTAAATCTCTCGGCCTTTGCTCGGAGGGAAAACCGGCATTCTCGGTACGTCGCCGTACTTGCCGATACATACCACCAATAATTCGAACTCGTACCACTGCATGCACCATGGTATTATTCATTTAATTTCACAAGTAATCAACGATTTCGAATAAGAGATATGTTATATTTTGAAGGAACAACCTCAACAGTCTTCGATGAATGTGTTTCCACGGCGACTTCCCACGCAGGATGGCCGCTCAGAAGAGGTCCGAACTCTCCGGTACCGTCCGTCTTCATGTCGATATTCATCGTTCGTTCGGTGCTAACGTAACGAATCTCGACAACCCTCGAATTGAACCTCACGTGCTTCAACACATCGAAGTGCGTAGCGTAACCGTGCAAGTACTCTAGGATCTCGAGGTGGGTAGGGAAACTCGTATTATCCCTCTCGGGCCACGGATAATCCGAGAACTCGAAATCGCATCGGGGCGTTTGGAGCTTGGTGGAAGAGAACGAACAATGTTTCCAAACGCCACCAATCGAATCGGTGGCCTCGAGCACGATCGGGTTGTGATCGGAGAGCTGTTTAGCGGCGGCTATGCCGCTTATACCAGCACCGATGATCCCAACTCGCGATGGTTTACGCTCACGAGCCATATTTGTATAGGCGTATAGCTATGAATGAGTAAACGGGATGGTATTGGTGTGCCCAAACTGAAGAGGCTAGCTAACTATTTATAGGGGGGAAATGATATAGTTTATGAGATTTGGTACGTCTAATAATCCCATTAACTATATAGTTTATTCTTCTAATTATATGTCATGAATAATGAAACTTGGTATCAATTTAAAATAGATTAGTTAGCAAACGCGGGGTTTGAATTATCGTTTTCTGTCTAGGGATGGTTACGGATTAGGTCAGATTTTTTATTCATCCGGATCCGATCTTAAAATTAAATCTCTTCACTTACATTTGATTCGATCTGAATTTAAGGGATTTTCACCTGATCCAAAATCTAATTAAATTTTCAAGGTAAAAACTCGTACTCACCTAACACACATTCAAAATCAGGGTGGATCGGTTCGAAATTCATCGAGTCTTATCTCACACAAGTCAATGCATAAAAAATACTAATTTTGATCATGGAGAGACCATGGTCTAACTTGATTAATTAATGTGTAAAGTCTAGGGCTTTCCCTTGTACTGACCATAAATATGCTTCATTAATTAGGCGGTTGACGTTAAATAAATATGCAACAACATTATTCTTCCTCAACAGTGTACATAGAATTTACTTTGTAAATTTAATTATAGGTCTCAATTAGTAAATTTTAA